GGGGAAGGTTGCAGGGTGGGCAGGGCTGGGGTGTTAGGGGGGCAGAAGCGGGCACTGTCTGGAGGGAGCAGGGGCTTCTGAGAAGAGCCATGACCCCCGGCCCCACCACCCAGAGGCACTGTCCTGGGGCAGGTCACTCCTAGGGTCCCGGGTCAGCAGGACCGTGAGGACAGGGGTGTGTAGCCGGCCCCGCAGTCGTTCACAGCGTCCTGGAGAATTCCTGCTGGCTGTGGAGGGGCTCGAGGGGCGGCTGGCCCCAGGATTCGGGATGTGGGTGAGGAGTGGGGGCGAGAGAGGTGCTCCAGGGTGTGCTCCCCCTCAGCTCTGCGGGAGGACCTGGGAGCCCGTGGAGGGAGCTGGGGGGACGTCATCTCTTAACTTCCCCACCCCTGGGAGCAGCGCCCTCAAACCGGGAGGAAGCCTGAGCACAGGCCGTGGAGGGGCTGCCACGAGACCTGCAGGTGCAGAGGGAGAGCGGGAGTCTGCTTCCCCAGCGCCGGGAGCGTGCACACGGGACTGCTTCTCCAGGCTCCCGCGCTGGTGAGGGAGCCGCGTCCCGCCAGACGTTCTCATCCCAGCTCAGCCGCCAGACTCCGACCAGTAATGATTGTACTTTATTCCCAAGAGAGGCCAAGCAAACGTAAGCCAAGGCTTTGCTTTGGCAAAGTCAGAAAAGAGCTCATGGGAGCTCTTATCTCATGGGAAAGAGAAATCTGAAATCTTGAAACCCATACATAGGCCTAGTATCTCCCACTGTTATGGCATTAATATAAGAAAGAACAACACAAGCCCTCACACATATTTCCTTCTTTCTTATTTCATGTCCCTCTTCATCAGTCTCCAAAGAGGTGCGTGTAATACGAGTGCTCCTGGGGACCCTGGCCTATTGGACCCTGCCTGAGCGTCGGTCCCTACATGGACAGCCTTCACCCTCACTGAGCTACAAATGCTCTCCAGGATACATTCCTTAGCGACACAAACGTGAGCAATAGAGTTAATAGAGAGAGTGGGCTGCTTTCTCTTCCTGTGCGCGCAGAGGCCGGGCTGGCTGTCACTCGGCATCACGGAGCTGCTCCCTCTGGGTTTTCAGGCCTTCCCCGGGGCTCCCTGGAGCCAGAGCCCTCCACCCAGAGGTTGATGGTACTTGCAAAACCTTCACTGAGAGAGAAGATCCCCCCCTTCAACTTCTCACTTCCCCCTTCCATCGGATCCTTCTGGCTCTGGCCTCCAACCTCATTAGCCTGCAAATCCACGTACACGCATGGGCTTTGTGGGTTAGGTGACTTGAAGGGAACGGAGNACTGAGAGAGAAGATCCCCCCCTTCAACTTCTCACTTCCCCCTTCCATCGGATCCTTCTGGCTCTGGCCTCCAACCTCATTAGCCTGCAAATCCACGTACACGCACGGGCTTTGTGGGTTAGGTGACTTGAAGGGAACGGAGCCTGTGTGGCAGGCACGGGGCAGCTTCGCGGGAGAATGTTCTGTGAGGATGAAAATGTTCTCTGCGGATGGGGCCCTTGAAACATGGGTGGGGGGCGGGGAGGGGACTTGAATGTTTCTTTTGATTTGCTTTCATTGGTTTCAATGGGAGCAGGCAGCTCTGGCATGGGACCACTAGGGGCAGCGCGCTACAAAGAGATCAGAAGCAGCTCCTTGCTTTGGAGGAGTGAGACCGCCTGATGGTGACTATGCCTTTGCAGATTCTTCCTGGGCTCAGGCACACGTGCCAGGACCCTACGTGAGGCCCTGGGGAACACAGTAAGGTCAACACCCAGGGGGCCTCGAGGGTTCCCAGCAGGGTGAAGGGCAAGGCCAGGCACACCTGTGTTGGAAGTAATCCGTAATCCGNGGGGGCGGAAGGGGGAAGGGAGTGATGGCTTCAAGAGCCTGCCTTTCTCTCCGCTGATGGAGATTAGAGCCTGTGAGCAGGCCCCTTGCTTGACGTGGGCCCAGCAGGCCTGGACAGGCAGAGTGGAGAGACGCACGACACCCCTGAACTAGATCCCAGCCCAGGGGGTACACTTCGGACACTGCCGGGGGGCCTGAGATGTGTTGTCCAGGGGCCGAGCACTGGGATGAGAACTCATGAGGGAGACACACGCAGGCGGTGCTCTCACAGGGACCCACCTATTTCAACGTCCAGGGTCGCTGTACTCACGAGCAGGCAGACACGGAGTTCGGGCCTGAGAATTGCAAGATCTGTCAGAGGAGCTCTCCAACTGATGACCACTGGGCCATAAAAGGAGAGCAGCAGGGACCACCTCCACCCTGGGGTCAGCCCCCATCTCTTTCCCACGTCCCCTCCGCCTGGCCAGCCCTGGGGCCCACGCCCCTCCCACCTGCTCTGCAGCGAGAATGGCCCACAGCTGCCCTGGCCACGTGGTGTGAAAGCGCTGCCATTTAAATGTGTTTCTGAGCCAGACAACCCTTGGCCAACAGTGTGTAGACAAGGACTGGTTGTCGGGCAACTTGCAGAAACTTGTCCCTACCGGGCCCCCAGGTGGAAGAGGCCTGGGGACCTCCATGTCTCTGGCCCTGACCGTCTGTCCCATAACCCCTGTCCCCATGGGCTCATCTCCTGGCCAGTCTCAGGAGATCCAGTCCCCTGGATCAGGCCGGCTCTGCCCATGAAAGCCAGCATGTTTTTATTGTTTTTCACTCAGCCAGTGAGTGACTCCAGATTACATCCATGTTCCCTGACGCCACCTGCCAGTACAGAGATAAAACACTGATCTGAGAATCAGACCCAGTGCATCCTGCCTGCACCAGCCTTCCGTTTTCGTGGTGGCTTTAGGAGACCAGATGAGAACCCGTGGTGAGGTCAAAGGCCCCGAAAGCAAGAGGTAGGGGACAGCCGTGGAAAAGACATGAGCTTTTCCTGAAGGGTGCGACTCTCAAGTTTAATTTGGTTGGCTAGGGGGACTATTGCTGCCCAGCAAAAAGTCCGCCCCCCCCATCCCCCTGCCTCAACACCACCACCGCGAAATTTACCACTGATGCTGTCATTTGTAAATACCCTCTTGGATCAGGTGTCAGCCAGTCAAAGACTTTCTCACTCAATAGTCCCCTTCCCTCTACGCAGGTGGCGTCAGGGAAGATGGGATGTAGTCTGGAGGCACTCTACCACCATGGAAAAGGTGCCTATCACCCCTCATGTACCCTGGCCAGCTTTCATATTTGATTGAAAAGGAAAGAAACCAAGAAAGCAGCATTTCTACCCCAGACGAAGAAAGGCGAGCTTACCTTGGCTCTGGACAGGGCTCCTTCCTCTGCTCTGTCACTGGGAAGATCCTGTAATAGGTCCTGCGGGGCGGGGTGGGGGTCCTAAGAAAACACACAATGACTGTGGGGGCATTGGTGGTGCCACTCAGAAACGACTTGGGGTGTGTGTGGCGAGGGCTTTGCTTGATGCATGGACCCTGGGGTGGCGGTGTGTGGATGTGTGTGGTTAACAGGCATGGACTGCTGGGGAGGGGGACGGCAAAGGAGAGAAGTGTGAAAGAGAAACGGAGTCCTTGGTTTGGCTTCGTCTCTCAAGGTGACCCAAACCTGAAAGAAACAAGAAAGCAGAGCCCTTGGTTTGGTTTTGTTGCTCATGGTGACCTAAAGTAACACGAATGTGTCAGTCTACGAGCGGTCCTGGCTTGCAGGCTGTGATTCAGGGGCATGGTCCCCATCGCCCCTCCTGCCCATTCTGAAGCTCACTTCGATTGCCATTGTCTTCCTGACCTCTTCCAAGACCATTTCAGTCTCCACAAGGCAACGATGCCGCGTTGATGTTGGCCATCTGTGGCATGGGATCTCACACACGATGAGAAGACTTTTGGTGGAAGAGATTTAGTTGCTGGCAGTGCATTCTACCATGCTTTGACAATCCTCTGCTGTGGAGACGTGAGAACATTGAGATACTGCCGTTTCAAAATAACGCCCTGTTAGCCATGTGTTATTTTTGCCTCCAGTCCTCTTTTTCTTTGTCACGTGTGTGTATTCGTTGAGAGCGCTGGCTGTCCTCACCTGGGTACCAGCCTGGGGGTGGGCTAGTCCACTCCAGAGGGAGGGAGATGGGGAGTGTGTGTGTGCGCGCACCAATGCTTTTCAATGCGGGCAGTGCAAGAGAGTAGCAAAGAGGGTGGGCACCAGGCACTTTGAGTTCTTAACCTGTCACCATCCCCAGGGTGTGTAGCTCAAGGATTTCAGGATTTCTAGGGTTCCTGGTGATAATGCAGCCAACCCTCAGCTTTACCTGTCTGAGGCTGGCTCCTAAGGAGTCATGACCCAGAAGCCGCAGAAGGCGACCCAGTCGTCCTTGATCCTGCCTTCCGTGCTTAGCATCTGTGAGCTGGCCAAAGAGCCCGTGGACTCTCTGCCTGCCCTTCATGCTAACCACGCTGCCCAAGTCTCCGTAACAAGGACCCACCCATCGGGACTGCTGGGGAGGCACCATGGGCAGGATTGCAACATTGGCACGCTGGGACTGGAACCAAGATTCCCCCTGTGTCTTATGGCCCCGGGTTCTTCTCTTTAGGAGAACCTCTCCCCTGGCCTGCCCGTGACCTGAGTCGACTCGTGCTGCCTAACTGCATGGCCGAATGCCTCCTGGCTAGCCCACCCGCAGATACGCGGTCCGCGGCTTCGAGACAGCTGTGGGGAGGGACCTGCTGGCCGTGGGGGAACCAGGGCACACTGCGGGCACTGGTCACGCTGAATGGCTTCTATGTTTTTGCCCAAAGCTTGTCCCGACCCAACTGGTGTGCAGCGATCACCCCGGGAGACTTGAACCCCAGGCCCAGATGGCCGCGGGGTGGAGCTCTGCGGGCTCCTACTTTGGGGGGTCGGTATCGTGAGGACCTCTGCCGGCCTGCACATGTGGGGAACCCCCTCTGGGCACTGGCAGCTGGCGCTCCCTGCCTGACCGCTTCCTTGGTGTATGGGACCCCTGGGGCCACCCTTCTAGGGGTGACAGGGCTGGGGGCCTGGGCGCTTGAGGGTGCAAGCACCGATGCTGGTGACTGATGGTCCCATTGATGAGTGATGGGTGTTCAGGGGGCCCAAGCCATACCACCCACACCACATGCCTGGCTCACATGTGGCCTCTTCCACTCAAGCACTTGAGACTGGGGCACATGCATACCTGTCCCCCAGTTTCTCCGTCTGAGGAGTGGGGTTGTTGGGCAGACCTCCAGGTATGGCCATGGTGGGTGTCGAATGAATGAATGTATATAAAGAGTGCGGTGGTGATGGCCTCCTTCGCTTCCCTCTATGCTACTTGAGAAAACTGGCAGGTTGCGCTGTGTAAGTTAGATGTATCTACTGGGGGAAGCACACACACACAACCTCTGCACACATATTCACAATTAGCCCACTTAGACTTACACATGGGCCACCCCCCACCCCACCGAAAAGGAATGCAGCCACTGCCGGGGACTTACAGGACATGGCCATAGGTCTTTACCTGAAGTATAAATTTACGTCACCACACCCCCAAATTCTCTCTCCCACCAGGATGGTCCTCCAGGCCAAAAGCCAGCAAAAAAGCTCCGCCTTCCTCCTCCTCCTAGATTTTTTTCCTTAGCAGTAGACTCATTCCTGAATATGTAGAGTTTTCTTTGCTTTTGAGGCCACCCACAAGAGCAGAGAACATACCCTCCTCCATATCTGTGGCACAAGGGAATGTTCACTATCTCTTGAGTTCTAAGTGAGGGCAGGAGTCAGGGAGGCCGGGCTCTTCCCTTGGAACGTCAGCATCCTTGGATTCACTGGGAGACTACCTCTCAGCTGGGGCTCCAGGTCCTTTCTCTTGGAAATCAACTTTCGAGTTGGGTCTGAAGTTATCCTTCTGAGAGTTCACAGAGCAATGGCCCTCCCCATAGGGGTTCTCCTGCAGTAAATGGATGCAGCGGAGGTATCTCCACACTTACGCGGGTATCTCAGCGAAGGCAGGCACCCAGGCCATGTGCTTGCTGCTTCAAGGTGGCCAAGCCACGGTGGCTGCCTGCCTGGAGGGGTGTCCTGGGATGTCCCGAACAGTACCATTCTACTTTGTCTCTGAGTCTGACGGGATACTTTATATAAGTGGGATAGTACAGTATATGCCCTCTTAGGACTGGCTTCTTTCACTTAGCATAATGTCCTCAAGGTTTTTCCATATCGGTGAAAGTGAAAGTCGCTCAGACATGTCCGACTGTTTGCAACCCCACACTATACAGTCTATGGCATTCTCCAGGCCAGAATACTGGAGTGGGTAGCCTTTCCTTTCCCTTCTCCAGGGGATCTTCCCAACCCAGGGATCGAACCCAGGTCTCCTGCATTGCAGGCGGATTCTTTACCAGCTGAGCCACAAGGAAAGCCCATTGGTAGCATGTGTCAGAATGCCCTTCTTTTTAAGGCTGAATAATACCTTTGTATGGATAGACCTGTTTGCCTGTCCATTCACTTGTCAGTAGACACTTAGCTTGCTTCCACCTTTCAGCTATGAAAAACAATGCTGCTGTGAATATGGGTGTACAAATATCTCCTCAAGACTCTACTTTGAAATTCTTTTGAGTTGATAGCCAGACATGGACTTGTTGGCTCATGGGATATTTTTTTCATCTTTGGAGAGACTGCCCTCCTATTTTCTGTAATGGCTGCACCATTTTACATTCCCTCCCACAGGGTCCAAGGCTTCTGCTTTCTTCCCAACCTGGCCAATGCTTACTTTCTATTTTTTTTTTTTTAATATTTGATATTCATGTGAGATGGTATCTTGTTGTGGTTTTGATTTGTAATCCCCCCCTTGATCAGTGATGCTGTTTTTTTTTCCCCCATGTGTTTATTAGCCATTTGTGTATCTTCTTTGGAAAATTGTATATTCTAGTCTTTTACCCATTTTTAAAGTCGGGTTGTTTGTAGTTGAGTTGTAGGCATTCTCTGTATATTCTGGATATTAATCCCTTTTCAGATATATGATTTGCAATTTTTTTTTTTCCATTCGTGGGTTGTCCATCATTAGGCTGAGGTGGAAGAAATATCCAGTCTCACCTCCAGCTATCCTGCAAGCCCTCTTTGGCTGGGACGTTGACACAGAGCAGGGCTGAGAAGTTTATGGAAGTGAGGGGACAGTGCACACCTACCATCCTCTAGATCAGAGTTTTTGCACACATTTTGCATCACCTAAAAAAAAAAAATATTGGAAACGGACTCTCCTGGTAGCCCAGTGGTTAAGACTCTGTGCTTCCCCTTCAGAGGGCCCAGGTTTGATCCCTGGTCAGGGAACTAAAAGATCCTGCATGCTGTGAGGCATAACCAAGAAAAAGAAAAAAAAGAAAAACTTTGGAAAAAAGAAAAGAAAAATGATGAAGTAAACGTAAATCATATATTTTTTTCAACCCAATATGTCCAAAATGTTGGATTTTTTACGCGTGGCATATAACATGTGGCCACATTTGTAGGGCTCAGTAGTTACACTGAGCCAGTTGCTATCATGGGCTTCCGTAGTGGCTCCGTGAAAAAGAATCCATCTGCCGATGGTGGAGACTTGAGTTTGCTCCCTGGGTGGTCGGGAAGATTCCCTGGAGAAGGAAATGACTACTCACTCCAGTACTTTTGCCTGGGAAATCCCATGGACAAAGGAGCCTGGCGGGCTACACAGTCCGTGGGGTCGCAAAGAGGCCCGACTTGTGACTAAAACAGTAACGAAAGTCGCTACCACATTGGGTGGGTGACAAAGTTGCATACTTACTGCCTGGCATAGGGTTGGTAGTCAATAATGGCTTAGTTATCAGTGTCTAAATCCTAGCCATCCTTTTTATAACTTGAGAAAAATGTTTAAAAAGCTTTTGGAAGGTCTGCCTTCCTGGGCTTGTCATCCCACGGCTGTTCCTCTGGGCTGGGGCGCATTTGGTTTCTCTTTGTACATTGCCATCTCCTCTACCCGTGAGGACACCAGTCAGATTGAATAAGGGCTCAGCTGACGGCCTCATTTGAACTGAATCCCCTCTTTAAAGGCCTTCTCTCTATAAATATAGTTTCATCCTGAGATGTGTACCGGGTTTTAGGGCTTCAACATCAGAATCTGGTTTGTGGGGGGGGGACACCATTCAGCCCATAACAGAATTTAAACAGCTTGTGAGTTTTCATAGTCTTGTGAGGACAAGGTAGTCACCATAGCCCAGTTACCAAGAGGCAGAGCTATGTACAAAGCTGAGGCGTCACAGCATCAGATGGGTCCTTGCCTTCAGAAAGTAGGAGACAGGAAGCGTGAATCCTAACAGGGAACGAGCAAGGTCCTTTCATAGACTTTGACAGAGCGCCACCTAGCGGGTAGCTGTGGGATGGCTAGAGGCTTTTGCGAGTACTTCATGAATCAAAGGTTAACTGTGTCTGCAACTGTCACTCAAGAACTAAAACCTGTCCAGGGTTTTTTAACATCTGAAGAAAAAAGGTCATACTATGTGGGGAGGTGTTTAGAAACAACAGACTCTCAAATTTCATTCAGTGTTTGGTAATATGGATATTTAAAATATGTACAATTAATAAACTGCCATTATGACCTCATATTTTGAATCTCAAGAATATTTAAAATCAGCTTCATGATTTTTTTGCTTTGACTTCACCTTTTAACAAAATAGCAATTTGCGGTCTTTTGCAAGAAAATCAAAGTGAAGAATTTATCATAGGACGGGAATTAAGCATTACCAAATCCCATCTTGCCTTCCCCATTCACTATGGAATCGCCTATCATGCAATTCCTTAGTGAATAGGTTGTGTGTGTGTGTGTGTGTGCGCACATGCACACATGTGCACTTAGTCACTCAGTTGTGTCCATCTCTTTGTGGCCCGGACTGTAGTCTGCCAGGTTCCTCTGCCCAATGAATTTTCCAGGCAAGAATACTGGAATGGGTTGTCATTTCCTACTCCAGGGGATCTTCCCCTCCCAGAGACTGAACCCATGTCTCCTGTATTGGCAGGCGGATTCTTTACCACTAGCACCACCTGAGAAGCCCATCACTGAGTAGGTTGTTTGCCCATCAAATTGGACCTACATATTCCAGATAGTTTAGCTGAAGTGAGAGTTTATATTAGATATCAGTGAAGGGTAAATTTTAGCAAAGTTAATATTTAAAATAAGGGTCAGAATGAGAATTTTACCTACCATTGTGTGGTTTACAAATTAATAAGCACAACATATTTATATGAAATAGTGAATTGCAATTAATGCAAATCATTTTGAAATTTTGGTTCAGTACTGAGTAAAAATCCTTGTTGTACTTCAATAAAAAGTTTGTGGTAAGTGCTCGCCGCGCAGCTCCCCACTCGCCTCCGCGCGCCTCGCTCCTCTCCGACATGGCAAAAGTATCCAGCCCTACGGAGACCGAACGATGCATGGAGTCTCTGATTGCTGTTTTCCAAAAGCATGCTGGAAGGGATGGTAACAACAGCAGACTCTCCAAGGCCGAGTTCCTAATCTTCATGAATACAGAGCTGGGTGCCTTCAGAAAGAACCAGAAGGACCCTGGTGTCCTTGACCGCATGATGAAGAGATTGGACCTCGACTCTGATGGGCAGCTAGATTTCCAAGAACTTCTTAATCTTATTGGTGGCCTGGCCATTGCTTGCCATGAACCCCTTATTAAGTCTGCCTCTGGCCAGAAGTAAATTGGAGGAACCTTTGGGCCTAGCCTCTAGACCCACTCCCTTTCTTTCCAGCCTCGCAGTTATCTGCTCTTCACAGCCCCCACATACCCTGAGCCCAGCACACCCACCTACCCAGGCAGGCCACTCCTGTTAGTAATAAAACAATATTGTTTTTTAAAACACACACAAACACACACACAAAAAAGTTTGTGGTAATTTCTCTCTTTAGTGAGAATCTCATTTTTGCCAGAATGAAATAAAAATACGGTCAGGTTAAAGATACCTGGTTTGAATAGGGTAGGAAGAGATCCTCCAACATAAAAAGCCCACTGTCGAAGATGTGGTATGTACATGCCATGGAATGTTACTCAGCCGTAAAGAATGAGATTCTGTCATTTGCAACAATTTGCAATATTTATTATGCTCAATGAAGTAAGCCAGAGAAAGACAAATATATATGATATCACATACATGGAATCTAAGAAATAATACAAATGAATGTATATAGCAAATGAAGAACAGGCTCAAAATATAGAAACTAGTGGTTGCCAATGGGGGTAGGGTATGGGATTAAGGGATTAAGAAATACAAACTACTAAGTAGTTGATAACTGGGATATATTGTAAGGCAAGGGGCATTATAGCCATTAACCTTATAAATAATTTGTAACAGATTATAACCTGTAAAAATACTGAATCACTTTGCTGGGCACCTGAAACTAATATAATATTGTAAATCAACTGCACTTCAGTAAAAACAGCAATTTTTATATCCCTCAGCAAAACTTGCAGGTTTTACCGTATACAGGTCTCATTAAACGTGTAGCTAACAGGGCTTCCCTGGTGGCTCAGTGGTAAGGAATCCAGCTGCCAGTGCAGGAGACGGGCTCGATCCCTGATCCGGGAGGATCCCAGGTCCTCCGGGTCCCCCGGATGCTGTGGAGCAACTAAGCCCCTGTGCCATAGCTGCTGAGCCCCGGGGCTCCAGGGCCCAGGAGCCACAGCTACTGAGCCCACGGGCGAAGCTGCTGAAGCCCGCGTGCCCGAGAGCCTGTGCTCTGTAACAAGCGAAGCCAGAGCAATGAGAAGCCGGCACCGCGCAACTGGAGAGAAGCCTGCGCAGCGACAAAGGCCCAGCACGAGACCAAAAGTAAATACAGAAATTACTTGTTAAAAATTATAGCTAGGCATCTTCCAAAAAATTGAAATGCATTTAAAAGCCCCTTGTAGGTGGACCTCACTCTGAACCTGAATCATCGTCAGAAGGAGTTGGAGGCCAGAGGAGGATCTAAGAGAAACGTGAGGCCGATCTTAATTTCTTTTTTGCTTTTCAGTTTTCCACAAAAGGCAGAGATGACACAACAAAGTTTGGGGGAGTGGAGTAATTTATTAAATACAGCAAGTGTTGCCGAGGCCAACTCAAATCCCAGACCCTAGGTGTACGCTTCGGGACTCTCAGGCCCTCTGCTCCCGAATCTGTAGGCAGGACTAGATAACTCAGCCCTGAAGCCAGAGACGACGCTGTCTTTCCTTAGTCAGATCTTGGCTTGGACTTCGCCATCAGATGGTGAAGCGAGTTCTCCCCAATGACTAGTTCAGCCTCTCAGCTGCTGCTGTGGGTCTGAGCCACCACCAGACAGCGGGACCCACTGGCGGAGGTTGGAGGGTCTCTGAGTCTAGACCAGGATAGCCAGTGGAATGTAACCCACACACTTAATGATAAAATTTTCTAGTAGTCACCTTCATCTAGAGCAAAAGGAACCAAGTCAAAATAATTTTATTTGGCAAAATGTTATTTCAACCAGTCATCAACAAACTATGTTGAAATAGTTGAAATTGCTTTTAAAAAAAAATCTTCAAAATCTGGGTCTGAAGCATTTTACACTCATCGCACATCTCGGTTCAGATAAGCCATGTTCCCAGTGCTCAGCGGCCACGTGGGGCTGGTGGCTACGATGCTGGGCAGCCCAGGTCTCGTGTTCTTCAGGGATTTTCCTGGAGGTGGATATTGGAATCCGTTCCCTTTGTAACATATTAGCGGTGGATCTCCAAGTACTTAGTAGGCTTCAGAGGTTGCAGAGACCTCAGAAAAGCAGGACAGCCAGATATGACGAGAACCCAGCTGGACAGTGAGTCTCCCTGGGTTCCAGCCCCAGTTTCTATCTCTCTATCTCCTTTTTTTTTATAAGGTTTTAAAGATATTTTTGAACTTTTATTGTAGTCTAGCTGATTTACAATGTTGTGTTAGTTTCTACTGTAATGCATCAGGTGACTTCCCTTGCACACGAACCTGCAAGTTGTGAACTGGCGAAGATGCGGCCGTGTGTTCGCATGTCCTGCCGTGTAAAGGAGCTCCTGTGTCTGGCGTGCATTGCCACGTGCGTGCATCTTCTTCAGGCGGTTGCGCTTTCGTGTACTTTGCTGCGCCGCGCCTACACAGCGGAGCAGCGCGGCGCCTCTATTTCAAGCCCAGGAGGCCCGGAAGCATGTGCAGAAGCAGCGGTGCTGCAGGCGGTGCAGTAGCCACCCGGGCATCACTGGGTCGTCTGTTCAAGAGCGTAGACAGAATGGAATCCAGCAAGGAATCGGAATCTGCGCCACGAGCATCAGGTGTGAGTGAGGTTTCAGCCTGCCCTCTGCCTCCGATTGCTGACGATCCTTCGGCTCCACCGTCTCCCACCTCTTCTCCCAGCGCCGGTCGGTAGCTGTTCTTGCCTGCTGCTGCTACAGAGCCGTGAAGCCCCGGAACTCGGGGCTTCCGGGGAGAGGAATCTGATCTGAGGCCAGAGACCAGGCTTGATCACTTGGAGCCTTTTTGTGTAACAAGGTTTTATTCAAGTATAAAAAGAGATAGAGATAGAGGGAGCTTCTGACATAGACATCAGAAGGGGACAGAAAGAGTGCCCTACCCCTTGCTGGCTTTTAGCAAGGTGCTTTCGTCTTTTAGTAGTAGTGGTAGTCTGACTCTTGTGACCCCGTGGACTGTAGCCCGCCATGCTCCTCTGTCCATGGCATTCTCCAGGCAAGAGTACTGGAGTGGGTTGCCATTTCTTTTCCAGGGGATCTTCCTGACCTAGGAATCGAACCCGGGTCTCCTGCATTGCAGGCAGATTCTTTTTTTTTTTTCCATTTATTTTTATTAGTTGGAGGGTAATTACTTTACAATATTGTAGTGGTTTTTGTCATACACTGACATGAATCAGCCATGGATTTACATGTATTCCCCATCCCGATCCCCCCT